CTGGTTGAGGGTCTTCCTCGTTTTCTCCAGATAATATGTCCCAAGTACATTAGATGGAGTATCACTCATATCTCACTTCTTCTTTAAAAAAATTATTATTATTATTCATTTTCATGAAAATTTAGACTTTGGATTTCCATTCATTCATTGTTGCACTTTTCTCCAAGCCCACCCCTTCCCCCCAGTACATTCCTCTCTTTGAAAAGTAAAAGAAAAATTCTTTCACTGTTTTACAATCCCTCCCCCCCAGGTCCACTCCACTATGTAGCCTTCATTCTGGACTCCCGTCATGACAATAATACCCAATCACATATCCCTTTTAAACAGTTCTCTCCCTCATCTGCTTCAATGCAGTATGCATTATTTATCCCATCTTTCTCAGTCTCCCCCCAACCCCGATGTCAGTCCTGTTTTACAACAATGGAGCATTTGTCCTCACTATCTTACTTGTAAGGGACACTCTGGCTGTAGTATTCTGGAGTTCTTATTCTTCATAATATTATCCATAATTTGTATGACTTAACATTGCCAAAGGTCTGCATAGCCAATAAAACACAGGTAAACATCTGTCTAGATTTTCTGCTTTAATCAAACTCCATCTCAACATTAGCAGAGATATCCCTATACTTGGACCAAGAGTCAGTCGTCAGAATAGTGCAAGGAAACACTGCATGGTTCAAAATGGGGAAAGTAGTGTGTCAGGGATGTGTCCTGTCTCCATAACTTTTCAATCTTTATGCAGAAAAGATCATTCGGGAGGCTGGACTTTATTTTTTTTTTTATTTTCTACTAGTTTATTTACAAAATTTTAATACATTGTTTACAAGAATAAATTCTTTCCATTTGCCTCCTCCGCCCCCCATCAAATTGTACAACCCGATGATTAATCCCCCCCTCCCCCGGCACATCAACATCCCTCTGCTTCAAACCTCTCCTACCCCTCTTGGATCCTTAGGAGGAGTGTGGCATTAGGATTGGGGGAAGAATCCTCAACAACTTTTGCTATGCAGATGATACAATCTTGCTTACCAAAACTAAGGAGGACCTAATAGTTTACTGCAGAAGTCCAAAATCAGGAAAGGAGTGCATCAGGGATGTGTCTTGTCTCCATACTTTTTCAATCTACATGAAGAACAGATCATTTGAGAGCCTGGACTTTATGAGGAGGAATGTGGCAACAAGATTGGAGGAAGACTCATCAACAACCAACAACAACACAACTCTGCTTGCTAGAACTGAGGAGGACCTGAAGCATTTACTGCAAAAGGTCAAGGACTGTATGCAGTCTTCAATATAGATTGAAGCTTAACATTAAAAAGACAAAGATTCTCACCTCTGGGCCCATTGGCAGCACCATGATGAATGGAGAAGAGATTGAAGTTATTAACATTTTCACCTTGCTCAGCTCCACAATCAACATTCTTGGCATCAGCAGTTAGGAAATCAAAAGATAAATTGCATTGGGGAAGTCAGTTGTCAGGGACCTCTCCAAAGTGCTAAGAAGCAATGATGTCAGTCTAGAGAGTAAGGTGCTCGTGATCCAGACCACAGTGTTTGCAATTACGTGCTATACAGTGGAGAAAATGACTACGGATGACAGAAGAATTGATGCCTTTGAATTGTGCTGGACGAGAGTATTGAACATACCATGGACAGGCAGGAGAACAAATAAATCTGTCTTGGAGAGAGTGAAACCAAGTTCCTCCTTGGAGGCAAGGATTTTGAAGCTCCACCCCACATACCATGGGCACATGGCCAGGAAGCACCAGTCCTTGGAGAGGAACATCATGCTTGGAAGGGTGGAGGGACAACATAGGAGAGGAAGACCCTAGATGAGAGGGGTTGTTACATAACTGGGGCTATGGGATTAGGTGTGTCAGAGTCAGTGAGACTGGCTCAGGGTAGGGCAAGTTTCAGAGTTGGTGTACATAAGATCATTATGAATTGCAGGAGACTCAACAGCACATAATTACAGTAACATGTCTTCTTTTGAGAATTCAGCATGTATTCCTGGCAATTCCCCATCAATGTACTGACAGGTAATAATCTTCAGCATAATTTTACTTGCATATGATAGTAATGATATTTTTATAACTTCCACATTCTATTAGATCACCTTCATTTGCTAATGTGACACAATTTAAAATAAGAAATAGATGCAAAAAATATCTTCGTAGTTACAACTTGGAATGAAAAAAGTATGAATGTTTGTCTATATGTTTATCAAGACTCATCAACACTTAAGATTTGTGCCATCTATTTTTAAATTATACCTCGTGGGTTTGTGTTGTTTGGTTTGTTGTTTTTGTTTAAAGAGCCACAAGAAAATAAACTGGGGAATTAACCTTATGATTGCCAAAATGAACAATTGAACAGAAGTATTGAAAAAGAATCTGAAAGAAACCTCTTAGAACACAGGGCAAAACACAAAGAAACACAGAGGACAAACTCAGCGGGTCGAACATCCCGGGAACAGACTTTCCAGTTAGTAAATAAGCCTGGAACAATGTTCTTTACAGGGATCAACTAAATTAGAATTAAATAACATGGCATTTTATATTTGATCAATAACATAATAGTTTAGCCACTATTCATCAGTTTGTCAGTTGACAGTAAACTGGCAAAATCCTGTGGAAGCACAATTGAATACCACGTATCATCAGCCAAATCTGTCCTTGCTCAGGCAACCTCACTGTTGAGAATTTCTCCTAAGGTAATAATTTAAACAGGGACCTCTGGTTTCATAGTCCGTAGGGAGTTGTATGTTAACCCAAAGGTGGAGTGTCTCTTGCAGTTTGAATTCACAAGTAACTTATAGTCTCTGATAAACTTTTGGAGGGTCAGCTATAAGTTGGTTCCAACACAATGGTAGTAACTTGGGTTAAATAATTTACATAATTTGAACATCCAGGGACAACAGTTGTTACCATGAATTACATTTCAAAATAAAAGAAAACAAAAATACAACTGGACAGATAGACAACATCATGGTAAAAAGATGAAAAAGTGAAATTGTCAGGGAATTTCTTTTACTAGGATCCATAATCGGCACCCTGGCGGTAGGGAGTTGTGCTGCCAATCCCAAACAAAGGTGGATGGTTCGAATCCACCAGCTGCTCCATGGAGAAAGATAGGCAATCTCCTCCTGTGTGATTTGCAGCCCCTGAAAATCCATTGAAGGGTCTGCTCTGACCAGCAAGAGAAAGAAAGAAAATTGCATTACACAAATCTGCTGTGTTAAAAAGCAAAGATTACACTTTGAGAAATAAGATATGCCTGGCCCCAAGCCTCAACAACTATTATCTAGTAGATTATGGCCCACTGTGACCCGATAGCTGCCCGTAGAGTTTCAGAGGCTATTCAAACAAATCGCTTTCTTTTCCTCCCCATAAAAGAGGGCTGAGGGGCTTGAAATTTAGAGCTCTTGGGATTTAAAGCCAAAAGCTTTAGCTAGTGGTCACCAAGACTCTTTTCTGACCCAGTGTATGATATTTTCAATCATCTCAGGGATGTGTGAAAGTAGGACAATAAGAAAGACTGAAGCTTTTGAATTACAGTATTGGGAAGGAATACTGAAAACAGCATGGATTGCCAGGAGAATGAATAAATCTAAGAGCTGTCAGAATGCTCCTTAAGAGCAAAAGTGGCAAGCCTTTGCATCACATACTTTGTACATGTTAATAGGAGAGATCAGTCTTTGGAGAAGGGCATCGTGCTTGGTAAAGTAGGGGGATCAGCAAAAAAGGAAGATGGCCAGATGGATTGTCACATGGCTTCAAAACGAGCTCAAACATAGCCAGGATTGTGGGGATGAGGCAGGACCCAGCAGAGCTTCCTTCTGTGGTAGATAGAGCAGCATCTAACACCAATTTTGAAAGAAGGAAAGTGTGAAATTCATGGAGCTATTCATTAAAGTATGGATTTTTACGCTGCTAATTTGTAAACAAACTAGAGACCCAATAAATGGAGATGAAGCATGAAAACGATGTGTGCACTCAGCTGCAGAAACATAAACACGAAAAAGGACCCAGATGAGTGAGGCGCACCCACAGGATGCAGCCCGCGTTTTCCTGAGAAACAAAAGCTCGGCGGACCAGAACAGGGCGGGACCGCGGAGAATGCAACCCCTCTTCTCCGGGTGACATGGGGCAGGAATGTTTCCAGTTCTCCGGGATGATGTTTTCCCTCGGGCACAGAAAAGAAAGTTAAGGGGCCCCCTTCTCCGTTCCGCAGCGCGCGGAGGCCCTGGCTGCGGCTGCGCACTGCGGTCGCGGTGCCGGCGCGGGGTCCACGAGGCGGGCACAGCGCCG